TGACAAGGTATGTTCATCCTCTCTCTCTCTTCTCTCTCCTTTTGCATGAATCGATCATTTATATATGTTTCTTTCTTTCGTTCAGATTGTGAAAGTGCTAACTCCACTCCATATTCTTCTTACGCAAGCAAGCCTAGGCTTTGTTTTAATTCCTTCGTTTTTAGGAGTGTAAAGAGAATTAGAATTGGATTAGGAAAGAGTTAGAATTGAACTAAATAAATCCCGAGTAGAATAGGATTATTATTTTAATTGGTAACTTATTTAGTTGACCCTCTTGTTATATATGTATATATAGTCAGAAAGAAGAGCGCTCATCAAGCCAACTTTTCCCCTTCCTGCATGAATCCTTCTACCGCTGAGAAAAGCGAAGCCATGATAAAACGAGTGAATCCTTGTGCCGCTGACAAGAGCGAAGCCATGATAAAACGAAGAAGAATGCGAAGAAATTCATATGGTGACACGCCATATGAAATCAAACACATTATACTCTTGAGACTACCCGTCAAGTCTGTGTTGCGATTCAGGTGCGTTAGTAAATCATGGCTTGATGCAATTTCCGATCCCCAATTCGCGAGATCACGTCTCAATGAATCAATTAAGTTTGACCGTCAAAGTATCATCCGCTGGGGCTACAACGGACGTAAGCACAAAAATTTCGACTCCATAGCCTATGACTGCAGTGATAATTCACAGCAAAAACTATGCTTTCCATTTAAGAAGTATAGGAAAGCTGCTGTATTGAGTTGTTCTTGTAATGGTTTAGTACTGTTGTTTCTGGACGACATATGTGTACTGTGGAATCCATCCACTGGAGCATACAAGAGGTTCTCACGTCCTCCTAAATATCACAATTATCCACCACGTGGATTTTGCTATGATTCTTTCCTGGATGATTACAAGGTGCTGTTTTTCCGTGCAAGAGATTTTGTGGTTTACAGTTTCAGAAGTCAATCCTGGACAGAGGCTAAGCACTTCCCTTATTTGGGTTATCGCAGTGGTTCTGGCGTTATTGTCAATGGAGTGTTACACATGGTTGCTTATAAAGACTTGATCAATAATAATGATAATAGAGAGTCGTCGACCTCTGCTAAAGTTGGACCTCCCTCTCCCGGTAGATTGGGCATGGTTGGAACCTCTGATCCACCAACTTTTATGTTCGGTGATTCCTACAAAGAACATCTCCTCGTTTCTTGCAATGCAAAACCCGTTACAAACCAATCTAAGAAGCAATATGGGTGTGTGATTGTTTACTTTGACACGGTGGATCACAAGTTCATGGAGATGCCATCACCAAATTGTATAAATGATGGAGATATGTTTGATTTGACGGTTTTGAAGGGATGCCTCAGTTTATATTTTAGTACCAGTGATATGAACTATTTTGAGGTGTGGACTATGGAGCAATATGGTGAGCATCATTCTTGGACCAAGTTAATTGTCATCCCACACTGGATACGTGAGAGACATATAAGTTCTTTGAAGCTATTGTGTGTTACCAAGGAAGGTAAAATTGTGATGATACTTGATGACAAAAAACTATTCATCTATAATCCTAAAAACAACACGTGCACTCCTCTTGGACAAACAGAGGTTGACGCTAGGCTACGGGCAGTTTCTATTGTGGATAGTTTGGTTTTTCCCATTCCAACACCTCAAGGAAAACGAAAGAGTTAAAAACCTACAATTGTAAGGAAGTCCATCAAATAATTTCTATTTTTCTAGTTTGTAAGTTAATTAATGTCTTATGATTGTTATGTTTGATATTAGATATTGAAAGAAATATAAATTGTTCCTTTTGTATGGAAAAAAATGGCGTAATTGTTCTGTTTTGTTTTTGTTGTGTTAATTAATTACCATAATTAGAATGTATATTCCCAAACTTCATAATAATCAGCATCAAGGTACATAACAGTAACGCATTAGAGAATTGCACACTCTCAACGATTAATCATCATTGAAGCTCTCCACGAACTCAAAATATTCCGTTACAATTCTTTGTTCGACATAAGCAAGGCTACAAACATAATTGATGACAACTTGGATCCGCTACTGCCAACAATGAAACTGTAAGCTCCATCTGCCGTAGGTTGTGGACAACATGAAAGAATCATGCAAATTGATCTTGCAATTTTGCATAGAGCACTACCAGGAACAAGAACCGAATTTGAAGACGCCACAAATCTCAACAACAAGCAAAGTTTATCGTCACCATGTCTATTTCAGTATGACGCACCATAAAGCACCAAAGTTCCATAACAATCTCCCAGCAAAGGAAGTGAGGATGCAAGAAGTTTTCGAGCAAAAAGGATTCCATTTCACCCCAAGCTGGACTGGAATTGACTACAATCACTTACGTTTTCAGTGCATGCAGAATGTTAGAAAACATAGGCTCATAAGCTAATTCCGGGGTTTTATTAGAACCATATAATATAGGAACTCGCAAAGCAAGGACGGAAGAATACACCTCCTCGTCGATTAAAACATTAAAAAGCCATCTAAGCTTTCTAGTGATCCCTAGTATTACATCTTCTTCAAGATCAGCAGCACTTTTCAAAAAACTAAGAAATAAAGCAACCCGACCAAGCAATAATATTCTTGCTCCATGCATAGCATTACAATTAAAAGATAGATTGAAGTAGTCCTATAGTTACCATTCTGACCTCCAGGGATAATCATTAAATCACTCTCATCAATGAACAACCAGTCCAGAATTTGGAACTTGTGTTCCTGTTTCACTTGAGCTGAATTTAATAAAGAATTCAGTAAATGTAACGCTATTGGCTCTAGAAGTTCTCCCAACAATTCACTAGCCGATTTCAAGAGTTCCCCTTCACTCACTCAGATTCTGAAAGTTGAGATCGTCAGGACACAGTGTTATTTTTGTTTTTTTAAATTTTATATTGTTCTTCTAATTAACACAATATATTTTAGATTGTATTAAATTTCATTTTTTTTTTTAAAAAATAATTACAAAATCAACATCCTGAAAGTGTCCAAAACGTATCATTGCCGTATCCATGTCATGTCTCAACCGTGTCTGACCAGAAAATAAAATATTTACTATTCAGAATACTTCTAGCCGTATCCAATACGTGTCCGAGCCATATCCGCATATTATAAAAGTTTCCAAGTATCCGATACCGCCACGGCACTCTAACAGAAGTATCTGGGCTTCCTAGACTGCATCTACATATCTTTTATAAAGAAGCAGAGACCTAAGGCAGCTTTCTGACACACTCAAAAACATGTGAATGCACTCAATTATTGAAGTTTCACTATTAATTGTGAAGTCATCAGCAAATGCATTGTTCTTATTAATTGTTTCAATCTCTGGTTTAGTAAAGGCCTTCTTTAACCTTTATATTTGTTTTTAATTTTTCTTTCGACCTTATCATACAAGGAACATCTCCAACACCGAAAGCAGGAAAATTATAATACAATGAACATCTCTGACACCGAAAAGGAGGAAATGAATACTTATTCTCAAGACAAACAACGATAACTGGAGGATAAATCATTCAAACGCTTAATAATTTAGGCTTTCGCTCTGCCTTTAATTACACATACCGCAAGCTGATTGTTCATTGTTGTAATTTGCTGCTACATGGTACCTCAATGAATCTCTCTCCATGACAAGTCTTTACACCCTAGGAACACACAAAATGACCAAGAAGAAAAGAAACACTTCCAATAAGAAACCCACATAGGTGGGACTAATAATGGGTGACGGACCTTTTTCTTTTCAACCCAAAAACATGCACATTTCCAAAAAGCACAGTACTACAACTTAAGAAGACTGCACATAAGCAAACGAACAATTCCAGTTGCACCCTTTAAATATAGAGCAAGTATATTGATGACCTGTGTAAGAAGGAAGAGAGCTTCAACAGTATCCTACAATGGTCAGTATCCTACAATGGTTCAGTTATATAGTAGCCAACGTACAGACTAAACTTTGTAAAAGTTTATGTAACAAGACCTCGTTACCGACAGTTGAACTTATCGCAAGCAGGACTTTAAAGCACAGGATCATTGGAAAAAGGAGTACCAAAATGTAAAACACTATAGCATGATCCATCAATGGTGCCAGAACTCCTTGTTGCAGCTTCCCGGGCTATAGTGGGTATCACGGTGCCACCAGAATCACCATAAAGTTAAACAAACTAATTGTATCTTTCATATTTAGCATACCAGTCTCAGCTTTCACCTACTAAGGTCATCCTTTGGATTTTGGCCTAGCGTATCCCAGATTGATTAGTTTTTCCACCAGCTTTTTCTCGGCATCCGCCTGAAAACCACCATAAGGAAAAAAGAGGCCAGACAATGTATTACAGCCAGGAACAAGAACATCCAACACGCTAAATTATGCATGCACCCAAACAAGTCTGATTGATGAAATCCACAATATCAAGGCAGTTTGTTAATAGCTAAACATCACAAAATATGGAATAAATAGAACTTACGAAAAAAAATATTTATGTAAATGTATATTGTTCATTTACGCATTGAGAGAGAGAGAGATTAAACCTCAAGTATGGGGCTGTTTTTTGGAATGTTGCAAGCCAATATGACATTTAGACCAGTCTTCAAAACTGTGAGGACAGTTGCATGTCAGCCCATGGGCCCAAATAACATATTGTGATAGTAATTAATGCATATCACAATTTACCTAATCAACGAGCAATGCCAGATCCTGTATTATCAGAAGCTCCCCCAATTATGGAAGTAACACTAACTGTGTTTTTCTGTGCATAACCATTAAACTATAAGATGATGATGACTAATAAAATAACAATGACAGATGATTTCAACATTTGTAAGCAAGTATGGCAAGATTATCAACACATGGAGTTATTTATAATTCCCTCTCTAAATTATCAAAATTGAACTTTAGATATTGAATCTTTTGCTGAAATAATAGAAAATCTTATCCCAAAGAATCAACAATGAATGGCAGAAAAAATAGGAAGACCGGCATGATGTAGAAATTGTCAACTTACAGGTCTTGCCGGCAGAGCTGCATATAAATTTCCGAATTTGGCTGAGTTGCAACCGATCCATGCATATATCTACAAAAACAGCATAGTAAATAGTAGCACCAGAGAGAAGAAAGCTAAAGAACGGACTAGAAAGTCCTTTTTTTAATCTGTGTTCAGAAGCATTGAGTAGTTTCCCATTTTCCTTTTTACGACTGAGTAATACTTTGTATCAGTTATGATATCATAGCAAGTAAAAAACAAAATGGTAAATAAATACAGTAATAAAAAATATATATATATTAGAAAACTGTGAGTTCTAATGTGCATCATGCTGATTTCTTTTGTTTGCACAAAGTTAGTTGCATTTAAAACAAATGCCTAATGTTCAGGGTGCCACGAGCGTTCTGAAAGTGACTTTTGACACACACACACACCCAAAAAAATTGACAAGTTAAAGTGACTTTTGACATGGTATCCTCAGAATAAGTGATTTTTCATATAGTGTCAACAGAATCATCTCCCACAGTCCAGAACACAGTTCCTGCCAGCATCAACCAATATCTAGACACTTTGAATTTTAATAATCTCTCGGAAAAATGAAGTCAATTCAATTTGGCAACATTAACATAAAATCAAAAGCAAAAATCTAGAGCTTGAGAATCAATTTCACTTGATTCTTTATCTACTGTAAGCACATTGACAGTCCAAATCTAAAAAGATTGGTTAAAGTATATAATAATCCAGTGAAAAAGTATGATAAATGCAAATTCACATAGGAAATAAAAGCTGCATATCATCTACATAATCACATAATCTCTAGTGGCTGACACAAAAACAGAAACACAAATTTGAACCTCAAATGATGACTACTTATATTGGGTAATTTTACTGCATCTGAACAATGCTTCGCATACACCACATCAATAATCTGTGTTTATCTGAAAGTAAATTACAACAACCCTCAGCAATTAAAATCAAGTAACAATAAGAGTGTTCCAACAATTGTGAAATGGGGTATCAAGTAAATTGCTTGAATCCGAATATAAACCAGAAAAAATCATTGAATAATCAAATTAATGGTTGTATAAGTGATGACACTGCAAACAAGTCATGAAAGGAAGGTTCGATGACGAAAACCAACCTGTTTTTGAAGACCTATGATCTGAAAGTGGAGAGTAACATTATCCGACTCTTCGGAAAAGCAGTTGATTTGCACACCACCTTCGTCATCTTCCTTGTTAACCTGGGAGCTTCCATTTGAAAATATTCCTCCATGGATTCCCAAACGGTCCACGCCGACACCAACATTAGCCGGCAATTCTTCTTCCTTTGAGGCAGAGCAGCTTGCATCTAACCCTCCCGGTGCCATTTCACGCAACACACACTATATGAGCTTGGAGCTCAACTGGAATGACTATTTAGAGAAATTAGATAATCATATTAGTTATATTAGTTAGATTTTTCATAAGCTCAAACTAAGGACTTACAAATTTAGGGTTAAAATTAAGGCTTACATAAATTATATGTATCTATAATTTATTTATTTTTTTACGCAGAGAGTGGAGTGCAGAACAATCTTACCTATTGAGAGTGATTGATTAAACTGGGAGATTGAATATGGTGGGTTTGCTACAGGGGCGAATGATTTTAATAAGCTGAGTAAATCGAATTCTTTCCCTGAGAACTTCAAAATGAAAAGTGTAAGATTCAGAAGCTTAATCTCTTCATTTTTCGTACGGTTTTCTCACTAACCAAACAAAACGTATTGAAGAAGCACGCAAAACAGGAATAAAGAAAGAAAAAGAAGAAGAAGAACATACCGATATATGTCTCTCTATCAATCGCTTCACGAACAGAAACCTAGACTTCCTCAAAACCACCGGCTTTCCGGCACCTAGCCGGAGACTGTAAGAACAGAGTGAAACAAGAGAATCAGAGATCAAAGTGAAGATAAAATTGTGTGTGTATTAAATATGTATATGAAAGGTGAGAGTTACTTAACAGTTCATTCTGCTGAGAGCTAGGGTTTCGAATGTCTGTGTGCAGATCGTGAGAGAGATTAGCGAGACTTTGGTAAAGTGAGTCGTCAAAGGGTAATTTGGTCATCTCGAAAAAATTCATTACTTTGTAATAACCTTTTTAAGAGATTCCATTTCTCTGAAAAAATGGAACTTAGACTCCACTGGTTCGTAAGTTGACCACCAAAAGTCCATTTTTTTTTTTTGAAATAATTTTCCCTTGATATCACCCAAGCATCTTTCGAGTTTAAATACTGATATTACAATCTCGATTTAATCTACTTACACATATATACAACGTGTAACTAGTTATATGTTTATACGTGTAAATACTGATATATGTATATATAAATTTGCCAGATTCTCGTATTGGTGGGCGTGCGGGTGGTGGTGGTAGGTGGGTTTAATAATGAGAGTATAATGGTCATTTAATTAACTTGATAATTAAGAATAAATGAGATTAAAAAATTAGAGACAAAGTTGCTTTTTTTATTATTATTATTTTTTTAATTAATGAAGATTGTGATGGAAAAGTAAAAATGAACCTAAGTGATAATTATTTTCGAAAGATATTTGAGAGTGATATTTGACCAAACTTGAGGGGGTGTCAATGAAATTAATCCAAATATATATTTAATATTGTTAGGAGCTTGTTTTCTTGTTGTAAGTGTCCGTTAATATATTAATATTTAATACTTTAGTAATTTAAAGTTGGGCCAACTTTTTTATTAGCCTAATTTGATAACATTGAGCTAGTTTGTTTTTATTTATTTTTTTATTTTTTTATTTTTAACTTTACATAATAATAAAAGTGGCATAAACCGCTCCACCTATCAATTAGACGAAATACATGGGGGCGGAGTTAGTATTTTATCTACTGGAGTATGGATGGGGATGATATACTAATTAGAAATCTATTCCGAAATAGGAGCGGAGTTGGTAAGATGAAAATTCTAACGGGGCGGAGTAGGGTTAAGCCAAACCTGTCCCAACTCCGCCTCGTTGTCATCCCTACTTCCATCAAACATAGCTAAGCGAAATCTAGGGTGAGGTTGGAGTGAAGTCCGGTCCGTCCTGAGTAGCAAATTAATATTTTCTTACTTCTGTAAGTACATTATTTCTTTATATATTCCCATTGCTTAATTAGTTGTTGACAGTTTGTACTTCCTCTATTCCAAAATTCTTGACCTATTTGGGGATCCAACTTTTTATGAATAATAAAATAAAATAAAATTTATAGCCAATTTTAGCCCAGCCAAAAAAAAAAAGTATTTGGCACAATTTTTAATTATTAATTATAGGCAATTTTATTTGGCCACCTCTATTGATAATTCCTAAATTCGCCCTTTATAATACTCTATAAATAGTGCACTTATTTAGTCAAAAAGATAATTTGATAATGTTATAAAAAATAGTACATTCATTTTTTTTAATGTAACATGTATTTTGGGCCATTTCAAAATAGACTAATGGACAAGTATTTTGAAACGGAAGGAGTATTTTATTTGCCTTTCCATTTTCTACAATATATATATATATATATATATATATATATATATATATATATATATATTGCACTACAATTTATATCAAAGAGTACTAAAACTGCTCTTAAGGATATTAATTTTCATCAATGAATTTTTACTTTCTTACATTTTCTAATGTTAATGTTTTGCTCCTTTTTTTCAATAATCAATCTACATATCCTTGGGACTATGAGTATCTTATTTGTTCATTTATTTTTGCAGCTGAATTTAGTTTTCATTTGTGTTACCATTTTTCATTACAACAAATTCAGATTCAAACGGCCTATCTTCTAACGTCAACTCAACGGCAGTGAAGCATGATATGATGTTGTTTTTCAAGAAGAGAGTGCGGATAATCTTACTAACTCTAGTGTACCGAGTCACTAACTCTATAAAATAATTTAATGAAAGACGTGAATTCGATGCAAGAAAATAAGAAAATTTAGTCCCATACCTCAGGAAAATGAATTGAATAATAGGTAATACTTTTTCACATGAATAGTGTATGTAGGTGCAAAATTTCGCTCAACTAATAATGATTGAGAAAAATAAAACAACTCACTCAAAAAATAATAAAAATAAATAAGAACAGTGTATAGAGAAGCGTAAATTGCTTGATCCTTTATTGGAGGTCTTAGCCTCTATTTATACACAAAAGATTGCAAAATTATAGTAGGACTCGCCTTGCTTGCCCTCCAATTCTTTCTATATAACCATTCTTTTCTAATAGAGTTCTTTCCATTGTCGAATTTTCCATACATAGAACTTGCCTTGTACAGAACTTCCTATCAGAATTTTCCTTCTACAGTAAATCATTCAAATGGTAGGACTTGTGCATTCTTGGACTGAATATATTTTGATCCGGCTGGGCTTGAGTAACAGGCCCGATGTTAAATACTCATAAGCTAAAGCGTTCCGGTCTGGCTATAATCAGGGCTCAGGCCCTAAGACGATGGATCCGGACGCTTTTGACAAGCAGGTGGGGGTGCACTTCCCATACGATGAAGGGCCAGAGGCTTTGGAAGCTGAAATCAGCTTTGCCGAGATGGTGAAGGCACACCTGAAGGGTACTCCTAGCTCCCCTGCTCCAGCGGCTTCAACTCCTCCTACCTCAAGTCCTAATGTAGTGGATGCTTTTGAATCTACTCCCTTCGATCCGAAGAGGAAGTAGAACCATGTATTTTGTTTTTATGAACAGCCTGTTTTGGGATAATGAGTAATGAATATAACTTTTTGTTTTAGGTTTGCCTGACTTGTTTTTGCTGTATGCTCTTGATACTGTTCATATTTCTCTGACTGGTAATGTGTTTAAACACTAAACATTGTCTTTATGCTTCGAATTTATGCTATCCGTGAAAACGCAAGGATTGTGGGAAGAAGGAGATCCTTTTAACAGTTTAGTTGATATCGCAGGATGACTCATATGGACAATGATTTAACTGTTAAATGAACCCTCCTTGCCTTTTACTTGCCTGCAGTAGACGTATACATACTCTTTTCTTCTCGTGTGTTCCTGATGTGGGGTAGAGTATGATGAACTTATGATATATCCGCATCCACAGGGTATTAAACACTTGGAGTCCGGATGAAAGAGTTCTGATCCGGGTACCAGAGGTCTAAAGTGAATACTCCTCGGCACTGAGTGTGGAGGAATATTGCTGAATAAGACACTTAGGGTCCAGATCTGTCTCGGATACTTAGGATTCGAGGCGAATTGTCCCTCGGCACTGAGTCGTGGAGGACTAGTGCTGAATAGGACACTTAGGGTCCGAAGCTGTCTCCGATACTTAGGATCCGAGGCGAATTATACATTCCCTGGCGTGGAGCCGGAGGGAGGTTTTGCCGAGCCGAACACTTAGGGTCCGAGGCGAGATTTTCGTCGAGCCGAACACTTAGGGTCTGAGGCGAGATTTTTGCCGAGCCGAACACTTAGGGTCCGAGGGGAGATTTTTGCCGAGCCGAACACTTAGGGTCCGGGGCGAGAGAACTACTCCCCGGCGCTGAGCTTGAGGGGAGGTTAAATGAATTACTCCCCGGCTCTGAGCCTAAGGGGAGGTTGTGCCGAACCGGACACTTAAGGTCCGAGGCGAATGAATTACTCCCCGGCGCTGAGCCTGAGGGGAGGTTTGTTTTACATTTTTCCTCAAACCACTTATCATGAGGCCGAGGACTCAAAAATGATAGGAGGCCAAGAAAGAGAGTAACAGTGGCTGTGAAGTTTTCCATTTGTTGACTTTAGAGACTTGCCTCCACTGGTACTCCCTTCTTGGCAACCAAATGTTGTGGACCACGCATATATGAACCACATTTCTTTTCTATTTTTATTCGATGTGGGACATAGACTAAATTTTGTCAAAAAGGTCGGTGTAAGGAATGCCTCTGGTATTGAGCTTGACAGCCTTAAATACCAGTGGGCCCTCCTTACACCGTGATTAACTATTTGAATATTTTCATATATAACAGAATGTGGCACATACTTTTTTGTCGATGTGGGATAGAAAGGTTTAAGCACAGGCCATAACTCATGTTTTGTTTTTGTGAAAAAATCAGACGAATGCCATGCATAGTATGGTCCCCCATTTTTAGAAAAAGAAACAAAAATAGAGGAAAGTGGTACTGAATATAGAAGCAAAATAAAGAAAAGCTTGGCTGACTGTGGACATACGCAGCTTTATTTGCGAAGAAGTTGTAGCAAAATGGACAAACTTAACTAATAGAAATACCTTTTCAGGTGTATTGCGTTCCAAGGACGCGCAATGGGACGTCCGCCAGCTTCGGCCAAACGATATGCTCCTTTCCCCACTACTTCGGTAACCCTGTAGGGTCCGGTCCAATTAGGTTCCAGTTTCTTTACATGAGCTGTCTCCTGCTTCAAAACCCAATCACCTACCACAAAGCTCCTGAATCTGACGCGTTTGTTATAACTGTTACACACCTGCTGTTGGTATGCCACGAGACGAATTACTGCTGCATCTCTCCTTTCGTCCACCAAATCAAGGCTATGTTCGAGTTGTTGCTCATTGTTTCCCTCTAGTACCAAGGATGTCCGAAGGGTTGGGATTATGGACTCGGTAGGAATGACAGCTTCGGATCCATATGCCATAGCAAATGGGCTTTCTCCCGTGGGTCGTCTTGGAGTGGTTCGATAGGCCCAAAGCACTTGAGGGAGATTCTCGTACCACTTTGTCTTCAACTTCTCCAATTTTTTCTTTAAGCACCCGAATATCGTGCGATTAGTTATTTCAGCTTGCCCATTGCCTTGTGGATGACTAACTGCAGCCAATTTTTGCAGGATTCCATGTTCGCTAAAGAATTTCCTTGTACTTCTGTTATCGAGGTTCTTACCATTGTCCATTACGAT